TTTATTCGCCATGAAAAGATTTGATAGGAAGCCTTTAAAATAGCTTACTTGATGATCATAGTCTATGACTAACAAGTATGCCGATTATTAAGGCTTTCTATCGAAACTTTTTATCGCATGACAAATAAAACAATTTAAAAAATGACAACGTTAAAAAAATTGATAATTTCATTTTTAATTACTGTGATGAGAATTTTTTTGAGATGAACCACTTGCAAGTAAGCCAACTACTCTTGTTAATCTGACCACTGCAATTGGCAAATAACATTGTCTGCAGGTAAGTTTAGTTTATATTAAAAAAACGAATCTTTCAAACTTTTTTCAAGCGCAATTCAAAAATTTAAACAAATTGTTGTCGAAAAAGCCTAAATTGCTATGACTATCGATCATGCCCAATTTTCAGGCTTTCCATTAGATTCTTTTGTCAAATCACAAATAAAACACAACCCATAAGAAAAATTAGAGATAGTGTTTGAAAAGAGTAATTTTGTTGATGGAGGGCTGATGTTAATTGCTAGTCTAGCTCGAAACTAAAACAAAAACAAAATCGTCAAAGAAAAAAAACGCAGGGCGACTTTTCGTGGAAACTAATTTGAGGTTTTAGAAGAATGCATCTTTTGGACTGATCATGAACGAAACTGACGAAACAAAATTTTCACTTAAATGTACCTTCATTAGCTTTTCCGCGATATCAAAATTTAAAAGTTTTGGTCCTTTGGATTGTTATCTTTTTTCCCAGATTTTAAATCAATAAGAGCAAACAAAATATTTTCTTTATTATGGTCAATTTTTTTTGTCATTGTCATCTGCTAATGTTCTTTGCTATCTGTTTTGATGAGCATATTCAAATCCCTTTCGTGCTACATATTTCTACACAAGTATATGTGGTATCATATCTTATAATTTTTTCTTTTAAAATCCATTTGATGAAAAAATTCACATCAAAAATTATTAACAAGATTCTGCCAAAAAACAGCAAACACTTTCCTCTAACGAATTCTTGGTTCAAAATAAACTTTGTGAAACACTAATCGAGAATCGAATTTTTATTTGTTGAACATATCTAAACATCGCTCAAAAATAATAAATAACCTTTTCTATTGAGCAGCAGAGCTTTACCGTTTTCGCGGTTTTTTATACTTCAGGCAGTTTTGGTGGTTTTTCAAGAAAAACCTCCAATTTAATATTGCTGGCTTTCACAACCGTTCACAAATTTTTTTATGAGTTATGTCAATTCTTTTAACCGTTTTTTGAAACAATATATTTTCACGCATCCCGAAACTTACTGAGTTTGGTGCTGGAAAAGGGTGGAATCCTTCATGCGCGAAGGACCGAATCTGCGAAAATACAAATCAGCCAATCAGATTTCAGCAATCTAAAATTTGGAAAGAAAGTAAACGTTTCCAGGGACTGCAGTATTGATATTGGCCGAATATAAAAACGGCAGAAATGTGCAAAATTTTCAAATTGTCATTGACCGTCGCAAAATTGGAAAAGATTTATAATTCAAGGGCTTCGTAATGAAAAATATTGCTTCATTTAATTTATTTAAATTGAATGGCAATTGCTTCTTTATAGAAATTGACTTTCGGCTAAATTTGTGTACGATCTTCCGCTCATGAGTTTTTTCGCTCATTCGTTCCTTCGCGCATGAGAATAGCCCCCTGGAAAAGAGTTAAAAAACGTATAAATACTTTGCAAACGATATAAACTAAAACACAAATTCAGTCCTTATGTTTTTTCAAGTTTTTTGTTTTTTGAATTTTTACTGTAATTTAGATTCACATGTTTTTTTATTAACAATGAAGTCATTTGATTGAGTCTTCAAACTTGTGAAACAACTAGAATCACTGGACAATGAAACTGCGTCTGTTTGAGTTCAGCGAATAATTGAAAAAAATTTCATCACTTTTTGTCCTTTTCTCTGCTACATTTAAAGATATTCATTTGATGTTGTGACAAAAACTAGAAGAAAAAAAACAAATTAAAATTACCTAGTCAGGCCAAAGTTTGAGAAATCGCATGTTGTGGACCTAATTAATCAGCATATTAAAATTATTTTTTGCTGGTCTTTTCTAAACAATTTAAAGAATTTGAATTGATGGTTTCAAATTGAATCTAAGGGAAAACGATGAGTTAGAATTGTTTTTTATACTGCCGAAAAATGACAGTCCAAAAAATTGAAAGAGTTTTTTCTTTCGACGTCAAAAGACGGCTGAAGATCGAAATAAGCCAACAAAACAAATGTTCCGGCCATTAGTTGGGAAAAGTAACTGCTCCAATCTATGCCCAGGATTCTTATTATCAGTTTTGTTGTCCAATTTTTTGTGTAAGTTCCCAAGATTGTGTAAATTTTTGTGTCGTATAAACTGATTTGACTGTTTTCTTTGTCGGACCGAGAAATTTTTTCAATTCAACAAAGCTATCAATCGAAACTGGAAAAAAATTGTTTGAAGATGGGTCTCAAAACAATGAAGATCATGGCTTCAAAACAAAACTAAAAAAGTACGATCTTAAAAATTCATCATGGCCTACATCCCGACCGTGGATTTATTTTTGAAATTTATTGGTTGACTTGTTCAAGTTTTTTCATGAAGTGCATGATTTATGAAGCGCTAAAATTTGAAAATGACTTTAAATGAAATGTAGAGTTTTTCATATTGTTTGCACTCAAAAAGATTTTTACTAATTTTGTTGACTATTAGTGCAAACACTAAGTTTGCAGCGCATTTTTTAATTTGAAATCAGTCATAAATTTATCCAAAACACAGTGCTTTATCAATTTTGTAGCTATTAGCGCATGCAAAGAGCACATTTGTGTTTTGGGTTTGAGCACATTTGTGTTTTTGGGTGTTTTTGGGTTTGAGCACATTTGTGTTTTTGGGTGTTTTTGGGTTTGAGCACATTTGTGTTTTTGGGTGTTTTTGGGTTTGAGCACATTTGTGTTTTTGGGTGTTTTTGGGTTTGAGCACATTTGTGTTTTTGGGTGTTTTTGGGTTTGAGCACATTTGTGTTTTCGGGTGTTTTTGGGTTTGAGCACATTTGTATTTTTGGGTGTTTTTGGGTTTGAGCACATTTGTGTCATTTGTGTTTTAGGGTTTGGCTTTACTGCAGTTTTTTAACACTTCGCAATTTAAAATTAAAATTAAACTTCAAATTGATGTAATTGCTTTGCTTAACCGAAAATCTTTTTGGTATGGCTTCTTTTTTTCAGCTACTAATTCAAAAGATATAAATATAACAAAAATCAAATGACCTGACATTACTGACACCCTTTCCACAAATATCTTTACAGGAGAGTATTTTAATTTTGGTGCTGACATGAAAGATTCAGCCAATTTTAATCGAGCATTTTATATGCAGCTCTTAGCAAATATAACCCCAAATAAGCTCTGGCATGGACGATTTTTTGTTGATCTATCTGGATGGGGGTGTTATTTTGCTTGTTTATATAATTAAAATTTGGATCTAACATCGTAAGACAGCAAAAAAACATCTTTCAGTAAATTCCATGATAATTCTGGACATTGAAAAATTCTGTTTTGACTTAAAATATCTAAAATATCCTCTCTTTTCAGCCCATTGCATAAATCTAGCGCAAGGTAACCAATTTTGGGGACTCTAAGAATTTAATAATTGGAATATAGCTTCAAACTAAAAAAATAATCAATTTACAAAACCTCCATCTTTCCCATTCAATTACAATAGCTAATTTATTTTTGAATTGAAGTAGCGCGTTTCGCACAATTTGATTAAAAATTTAAAATAGAAGAAACAAATTTAAAACAATTTAGGGGTTTTGGTAAAATTAACAGACCCTAATGAATTTTTGATCAGCACGTACTTCAATCAAAATGCAAGTTTTCTCCTTCAAAAACTAATCAATTTCATTTTTAAAGAAAACTAGTTTTACTCACCTTCACATTACTCTGATCAGCCTTGTTTTCTAATTCGGTTTCATTTTTTGCTCTGTTAACTCGCTCTTTAAACTCGCTCTTTAAACTTTCTCTTTGAGATTCGTCTTAAGTGACATGGTATTTTTGAAACAAGTTTATGAATCATCTCTCATTTCACAAAGACTTGAGCAATTGAAGCCACTCTTTTTGCAATATGAGCACAATTTCTGATGATATATTTCTTTAATTTGGATTTTTAACTGTTCACGCGTGAGAGCAAAATTTGTTTCTAAAATTGCAAGCGCTTCTTTTAAGGAATTTTTTGTGGGTTTTAAAACCTAAATACTACCCTTAAAACGGGTCTATGAAGTTGGTTCAAAGATGAAGAGAGAAACAGTCTCAGTTTTTGTTATCGTTACATCAGTTTTCCATAATTTTGACTCTGGGCGGAATAGACCTTCTGGGTGGAATAGACCTTTTAGGCGGAATAGACTTTCTGGGTGAAATAGAATTTGGGGAAAACCTTTGTCCGACCTATATCACCTTTTTAAAATTCTTTCCAAAAAAAATTTGCACAACCAAATTGAGCAGTTCAGGGGTGAATTTTGAGGGTGTAGGTTGTATATAAGTACCCGGAACAATATTTTTGGGCTAATTTGTTTCCAAAAATATGTCTTCAAAGCAGAATTTTTGCTTGAAACGGATCATTTGGCGTTAGGAAAATTCTTTGTCAGCTTTTGTCAGCTTTTGCTTCATTACGACGCTCGGTTTTATAACTAAGCTTATTTGTGCTTTCACGCGTCCGGATTCCACGGACACATTTTGCGTGTTTTGGAGACTTTTGGTTTCTTGATTTTTTTTTTTAAATTGTCAATTTTTGAATGCAAACACTACTCCGTAGACGTTAATTGGCAGTCGAAACATTCAAGGCTTTGTGCTGATACGAGTAGTCTTGTCTCTAGAAGAGGAGATCTTTTACCTGAAACTATCTTTTGTTTCGCATCACTGCTTATACTAATTTCAGCTATAAAAAACCTTTTTATTTAAATTTCCCACATTTTACTCGATGAGCCTTTTTGAAATTTTTAAAAGTTTATTAACAGAAAGGGATGCCATTAATTACGAGAGTTAAAGCGCCTTGGGGTGTTAAATTGGTGTCATTTAAACAAATTAGGTAGATGGTTTTGAACGAGCAATTTTGTTGGGGCCATTAACCGAGTATAGTAGTCCGCTACACTCGTTGAATAACTGTGAACCGATTGTTATTTTAACGCTTTAATTAGATGAATTTTCAAGCTAAATGTAAAATATTTGTTCATTCCACAATTTGCAACCCATTGACGAGTTGAAAAGAAAAGACAGAAAAACCAATTTAAAAAAAAAACGAAACAAGCTGAGATCGGGAAATGAATACGACGACAGTTGAGGTAAGATTTAAGTTTTCAGATCTTTGTATATTTTGCATATGTGGGCGTAGAGGGGCGTGGGGGTTACAGAGGGGAAATTTATACCTTCCCCGATCAAAAATGGAATTATCATCAAGTTTTTGGACTAGAGGTTCAAAACGCGTGAATAATGTTTTCATAATTTCGCTCACAAAAATTCTCTAAGTCGGGCAAGTCTATAAGTCCGAAAAAATATGTAACTCTTTTTATCTTTCGAGCATTGACCCGATAATCATTTGGAGCAATAAAAATGACCCTTCTTTGAAAATCCGCAAAGCTTCTCGATAAAAAAATTCGGTTCTATCGATAGAAAGTTTTGACCAAATCAAACTCAAGAAAATCCCCTCAAAAAATTTTAGATTCGGTTCTGGTCTGGTGGGAGAGAATGTTAACTTTTACCCTCTTTTCTGTCAACTTCATTTTTTTAATCAAATTTCTTTTTTATTAATTTAGGAAGAAGATCTGGCAGCGCTGGCGGAGGAGCTGCACGGAGGATACTACACAGGCATCATAGTGGTACGTGCAGTCACCTTTGCCATTGCCATCATAGGCATCACTGGAAATGTGCTGGCTTACATGACTGCCTCCAGATTGGACTCGAAGACATCCGGAACTACATACATCAAGTGTCTGGCTGTTGCAGACACCGCCGCTGTGTTCCAGGTAAACTGTAACAAACACCAAACTACCAAAAGAAGAAGAATTAGTTCCGCTAACATAGATTATACAATTTTCATCAACAGAAAATACATTCAAGCATAACAAACGACAAAATAATTTGAATCTTATTTTACAGCGAGGATAGGCAGAGGCGGTTTGACAAACCCACTTAGACTCTGCCTTAAAAAGGTCGCCAGTTAGCTGTAGAGTGTGCCAGTGCTGCGTGATCCAGGCACAGTGTACAGTCACTGAATTAAATAGTTCAATCACTCCGGCCTCTTTTCTCAGCAATCGCACACTTCCACTGTGCTTCCCAATTGACCTCAACCGATTTAATTTACTTTATCAAGATCAAAGCGTAAGCGACTTTAGAAAAATTTTAGGGTTAGCCAGCCAAAAATGGGTCTTAAAATAGTACCAAAGCTGAGACCCCTGAGAAAAGCGAAGCGTCCGCAAGCCTAACCCCCCCCCCCCCCGCGCGCCTTTCCCGTTAAATCAGGGACTCCTCAAAGATTTTGACGGACTCTTCTCAGAGATTCGACCTCGACCAACCAAAGGGTCCCCCTTATGGCCATCCATTTTAGGTTGATCAACACTAAAAAAAATTAAAGGTGCCTTTGGCGCCAATTTATGATAATTTTGAAACGTTTTTTGAACAATATGCATGCGGCGAAAAAATTTTAGTCAAAATAGAATCTTTATAGTATTCTGGGAGTGATCAATTAGGTCGACCTAAAAAAGGTCGACAAAATTTTTGAAAGTTTTGTCGAACTTTTGTCTTGATTTTCAAGAAAAAATTTCAAAAAAAAATTCTCGATTTTCAAGAAGGCCAAAACGTCAAAGCATAGGTGGAATTCATCGGAGAGCTTCATGATGCATCACTCAGCTCCATTTATTGTTGATTTGTGTTTTCTGGAATATGTTACATCTGTAAACAAAATTCCCGTCCATTTTGCGGTCGGAACAGGAAGATAGCCCGGAAAACTTGTTGAGTTATAGCCCTGATACTTGTTTTTATCCGGCCGAGCAATAAAAAAAAACATTTCTATCTCAAACAAAGCATTTCAATTGAGAGTTACCCAGGTTTAGTTGATCAGGTCGAAACCTAGCTGACTTGTGTCGAGAAAATCAAAACACAGATAGTTTGTCCACATGTCAAAATTTACTCAATTTTGGACAGCACCCTCGAACATACCATTTTTTGGCCGAAGTAAGTCTAACTATTAGTGGACTATAAGTGGACCTCGACCCAGGCTGAAAAAATGTCGAAACTCTGCCAAAGTAGAAAATTAGGAAATAATGTTACGATATTTTTTGAAATTTGAGTATAAGTACGGCAGATTTTCATCATTTCATCTATGAGTTCTTCTGGGGACGAAGTTTTTTTCTGTCCGGAGTTTTTTTTTCTGTGTGATGTCAAAGTTTTTTTTTCTGTGTGATGTCTTTGTTTAGGACGGAATTCTGGAGATGGGTCTGCCTATATTTGGTCTGGACGTGAGGACTGTGAACAGATATGTGTGCAAGGGCATAGCGTGGTACTCCTGGACCACCACCATCGGAGGTTACCATCCATTACTCTGATTGCTGTTATTCATTTGACTAAACGTTTTGCTTCGATCTGTGTAACAAAATTAAGTTGTTGATATTTTCTTCACTTAACGTTCAATTGTTTTACCACATTTTATTTTTTTAACACTATCAAATTGAGAGTGGTCAATGCGTCAAAAAAATATTAAGACATATTTCATGAGCTGCAAAAACCATCAAAATTGTCTTGGAGACTTCTTCAAAATATCAGATGTTTGGAATCGCGAAAACTTTGAGAAAGACTGTGTGTGTGTTCAATTAATTTTTTTTACCGGCTTAATTTTCTAAAATTGTCTAGCTTGCCGAATTTTTAAACTTTCAGCATTTTTCATGGTATTGATAACGATACGAAATCTGAATATTCTGTAGTTCTGAAAAATTCTGAGATCATTCCAGATTACTCTGCTCCGTGATATATTACAATAAGCGGTATTTTCAATTTCATTAGCTGAATCGCTTTTTGCTATACTTCGCACATTATTCATAATTTATTTCAAAAGTCAAAATTTTTGGGAAAAGAAGAGTAAGTTTTGAGTTTTTGAATAGCATTTCATTTGTCAGAGTAATTTCTAACAAAGATTATTTTACTAACAGTACAATTGATTGAAACTGAAATGACTTTATTATGCATTATAGTTCTCAGATTCAATACATGCACTATACTCAAAATTACCACCTATTGTAGCATATCACCTTCTGCTCTAGCATTGCCAAACTTGGTACTAGATTTTTCAAGCGAAGATCTTTGTTCACAGAATGATCAATTTAAAAAAAATAATAAATTTCATGACAGCTAAAATGCTCAATTTTTTCAACTTTAATTTCATGACGGCTAAAATGCTCAATTTTTTCAACTTTACAATTATTTAGCTTAGGTTGTAATTGTTTTATGTAAATGGAAATGCCCATATTATTTGGCATGTTTTTATGGCTTATATCTAAGCATGGGTTATATTTTGAACTAAACAGCTTATTGTATAATAAAAGTGTCTGTAATATGCATATTTTTTTTCGATTAAAAAGTTTCTGCTCAATTTATATCGACCTAGTCAACTTATATTGCGTATATTTGAGGCAATGTTTTTTTGATTTTTTGAGTTCAGTGCGGATGGGTCATAAAAATGTTAACAGCTCAAAAAATTTTCATGAAAACAATTTTGTTTTCAGCTCAACAGGGGTGGACCCAAATTTTGTAACCTTATTTGCAGCTCGGTTTTTGTTCGCAATGTTTGTTAAGCTTTTTTTGAACATCATCTTATACAAACATTAGAGTTTTTTTCAAATTTTTTGAGTAATTTTTTCGGCAGGCAGATAAAATAGCTTTTCTTTCTGATGCTTTCCTTCCCCTGCCTGCTTTTTGTCCAAGTCCAACCGCTTTCGAGGAGTTGAAAGAAACCGCTTTTTCTTTTTTCAGTACATAATTTGCGTGCCTCAAATAAATCACGTTAAAGCCCTATTGGTCAAAATTCGGTTTCTAAAAGAGTTTCAGAAAAGTCGCCGAAGGATCAAATAACTGGTATGAAAATTATTCAACTTTTCAAGTTTAATTAGACAAAATTTTTCAAGCTGAGTTTTCGACTAGAAATTGAGAGACACTTTAAAAATGCAGAAAAAACATTGAAAGTTTTGAGAAAAAAAATGAATTTTTGAATAGATTCCTATGATCAGATTAACAGAGTCAGAAAATTCTGGGTTACTTTAACAGCAATCACCTATCCTTGTTTATATTGTATTTTTTTCTCACATGGCCTAATTTCGTGCAATGTAACAAGCATATTTTTTCCATAAACAACTTCGTAGAAGAGCCAAAAAGATCCAAGAGAATTTTCTAGATGAGCCAAGAGAACATTCTAGAACAATCTGTAATTGTTGGTGTGTTTTGCCAAGGCAACTACGTGTTGACCATGTTCACGCTCGACAGACTGACTGCTCTGTGGCTGCCTGTGATGTACAGGGAGAAGAGCAAGCCCATAATTGCAATCACTCTCTCCCTCCTGGCTGAGGCATTCGCCGCCGGAGTCTGCTGGCCCACCCTATTCCTATTCGATATCAATGGACAGGTACAGGAAAGCCAAGTTAATAGCCCCCCCCCCCTAAACACACACACCACATAGAGAGGACCTTAAGTATAGCTGATGTCGTATTTGTCATTTCTAAAGTAGAGTGACATATCTTTTTGCACCTTCATTGTTAATCCCAACATTTTTACCCCGCTATTTATCAAAGATGATAGACCTCAGCAAAATTAGCACATCATTGGTTGCAGAAGCAGCAGCATCAGTTCAATCAATCACTAACCAGTTTTATATCTAACTTGTTTTTCTGACCGAAAAAAAAATCATTTTTTTTCTAGAAAAAACCTTATTAAAGATGCTCATTATTCTAAGCCATTTGGCAAGATTATTCTAGGCCATTCAATTTGGCAGCAATTAATAAGCTGAATCTGGTACAATCAGAATTTTAGAAAACTCCAATTTTTGGTTAGCTGAAAGAACGTCAAGAACTAATTTTGTAAATCAGTTTCATTCAATTCTTGTAGGTATAGTTGGTAAATCAACTGCATTTTTTAATATCATGTTGCAAAAAAAACACTCAGACAAGAAAATTTTGTTTGACTTTGAGAATGGCTTGTTCAATGCATTTCAATACATTTTGGCATTAAAAGTGCTTCCCGCCTTATTTTTCGAAAAAGCTGAAAATACTGGCAGGTTATTTGACATAGTTGTGTATAAAATACAGCATTTTTGACGCTGTATTCGATGGATCCGAATAAATAGAGCAATAGATGCGAATATAATTCCTCCCGCTCTATGGAACCAAACTTTTATGGAACCTGTCTGAAGTTTATGATGAAAATTCAGTAAAATCTTGAAAAAGATGTTCTAAAAAACATAAAAAGAACAATTTGCTGACGTACCTTTTGTGCGTGATGTTTGTCTGCAGGTTTGTGAGATCTTCAACTTCGACTACTTCTCGGAGGAGCAGATGGTGTTGTTCGCCAACCTGGCCATGTTTCTCTTCATGTTGTCCATCCCATTCGCCACCATCCTCATCTCAAACTCACTCATCATATACAAACTCAGACAGGTACAGATAGTCATTTGCAAAAGCCCAATGGTTTTAAGTTTAATAACAAACTAGCCATTCAGACGATGAAAAATTGAGTTTTTTCAAGTTAGTTTATAGATTGAATCGGTTCACAATAATTTTTTTCAGCATAATTTTCAGCAAATGAATTTTTGAATTAATTCAAATCATTTCCTAGAGCACGTCTGTTTGTAAAATTTTAAGTTTTTGAAGGAAACGTTTCAAGCAATGAAAACTTGAAAGTTTTCATGCCATTTCATAAACAGTGTTTCCCAAAAAGTTTAAGTAATTAAAGCAAGAGTTTCAAATGATTAAACTTTGAAATATTTCAAGTTATCTTTGAAGTTCTTTCATTAAGCAAGTCAGTTTGCAAAAAGTCAAATTATTTTTACGCAAAGTTTTCAATCAAAAAACCTTTGAATCATTTCAAGTTATTTCAAAGAATAAATCGGTCACACAAAATCAAGTTATTTCGAGCAAGCTATTCAACCGATGAAATTTTGAATTATTCATGTTATTTTCAAGAGCAAATTGGTTTTCGGAATGTTCAAGTTACTTTATGCAAGCTAATCAGTCGAAAATTTTTTGAAATGTTTTTGTAAACGATTCAATTTGCAAAAAAATATATATTTTGAGCAAACTATTTAACCAATAAAACTTTGCAATGTTTCAAATCATTTCAAAAGCAAATCTGTCTGCAGAAAGTTAAGGTTATTTTGAACAAGTTATTCAAACGATGAGAAATGAAATAATTCAAATGCTTCTTAGGGCAAGTTTAATTTTTATAGGCAAAGAGGCTGTTTTTAGTATGTTTGTTTCATATTGAAATGAATCAGTGCACGCAAAATTTAGGACATTGTGTGGACAGGTATTGTGTGGCCTTGAATGTGAATCACGTTAACAAATATTTCTAAAATTCCCAAGACTTTTTAAACATCTGGAGCGTTAACAGATCTGGAGAATTTTAAAAAATCTTGAGCGTCAAATTGAGTTTGACTGAAAATTCTAGAACACTCAAGGTTCAGGACCTTCTTGCCTTTCTGAAACGTTGTGCTCAGTGATTGCTCTAAAGCCATTACGTTTTATGGCAGCTAAAACATGACATCAATTTTCTGTCATTCATTTATTATATAAGATTGTTTGGCAATATATTTTTCGGTCAACGAATCTGACCAAAGTTAATTAACCCAAAACTGCTCATTTGACATTGGATTTCAGTTTATCACTGAATGCTTCACATAAAAACAGTGCCCAAAAATTAATTAAAAAACCATAACTTTAATCGATTCAATTGCCCAAGGTCGCCAATATTTGATTTGCAAAAATTTAGCATTAACTATACAATGAGCTTTTGGCTGATTCCAATGCGTTTTGAAGAAACGCGGTTTTAATTTGAAGGCCATTAAAAAGTCACAAGGGTTAAAATCATTTTAAAAACTTAAGATTTCATCCATTGACTTAAAAGTTCGGATAAAAAGAACAATATCCTATTTCAGGAAATTTTCTCAAGCAAACGCTTATTCTAAGACAGAATTTATGTCTCAAGGTAGCTTGAAAATTAGTGATTCCATATTGATTGCATGAAGTTTTGTTCAAAATTGGCAGATTTCCCATTTAATTGATTTTTGTCTGTTCCGACGTTTCGCAAATTTCTGTAGAGAATTGCAAAAAACCGCATAGACAAAATTAATTGAGAAGAGAAATTAAATGCAAAAGTTAGTTTATTTTGCATAAGTTTATTTTTACGCAAAAGAAAGTTTCTCAGATAATTTATGTCCTGAAAATTCACAACTGCAATCAAAAATGGCTTAAAATAGGCATATTTTTCGTTCATGTTATTTAGCACTAATCGGTTTTTCTTGCTATCTGATGTAAAGGCGCTGCAATTTTGCTGATTTTTTGGGAGAATTATTTTTCGTAGAGTTTGAGTCACTGATCAACCCATTCACTACCAAGTTAATCAATCAACGAGGGAAAAGACTAATTTACGAGCCGTACTTACAAGAAACCAAAAGTGAGCCGCGTCCCTGACTTGATGTGTCGTAAATTAAAATGTTTTATGTTTTCAACTACTAACTCCCCTGCACATTAGGTCTATTTTACCCGGTGGGATTTTATCCTGGGCGATTTAGTCCGCTAGCACTCCGAATCGCATACCGTCTTGTGGTTTGACCATATATATTTTTAAACATTTTGTCAAATTTGCCAAGACCACGCCAGAGCGACCGAATCTGGTTGTTTCCAGACCAGAGTGATCTACAAATCTCAGGCGTCTCCCCGAAGCAACTCAAAGAACTGTGACTCCGAATAAGTGAGTTTGAATGTTCTAGAACTATCTGAATGTTCTAGAATAAGAAGGACGGAGGTGGTGGGTCCTCTTTGCAGCAGAAGAAGGAGAGGGAGATAACGATGCAGCTGCTGACTGTCTCAATTGCATTCATGATCACGAATGCGGGAGTGAGTATCGCAGTGTTCGCCACCACAGTCATGAATGTGGACACGCCGGAGAAGTTCGCTATCAGAGACTTCGTCAACTTCTTCAAGGTCAGCGTAGATTGGGCATAGATTGTAACAAAAACCTAAATTAGAACACCTCACACGAGCATCCAATTTATGATTTTACGAGTAGTTTTACAAGGTTAATTATGCAGACCAAATTTGTTTGTCATGACCTTATTTTTCCTAATCATAGTATGCCAATTTTCATAACAATCGAAAAATGTGAAAAAACTTTTTATTTGTAAAATTTTACAGGTGTGGGATGAAGAAAAAGAGCCGTTTTAGCACATTTTATGCCAAATTATTTTAAACCAGAAGCGTATTGGTATTGAGGTGGGGGATAGGGGGATAGAGGGAGGATTGTAAGTCAGAAGCGTTGATCACGGGCGAAGCGAAGTTGAGATTTTCGTTGAGAGGGGTGAAGGGGTCCAAACCCCTCCGATCCTGAAAATGTCCTCACTTTCTTCTGGTTGCCATATTTTTCCATATTTTTTGAGGATTCATATGGTTGCAAAATTTTTCTGTTGTCTTCGGTTTTTTGGGTCCAAATTTTATTGAATATAAACACTTTGCTTCTAATTTATACCATGGATTCTTTTTACCTCCTTTCGACTACCCCTTCTCCCTCTCCCTTCATCTTCAATTTTCATTAACTATTTTATCTATTTTAATGTTGTCAGAAAGTAAAGAAACTCTTTTGCAGGAGTTGCCAGCTGTGTCGAACAACTCGATGAACTTCTTTCTCTATGTGTTGTCCAGTCAACATTTCCGCACCCAGTTCCTGACCATGATTGGTCGGAAGCGACAGACACAGAAGCCAGCAGCTGCAGTCACTGCAAAGTAACCGCTGCTCCAGTCGGAGAGAATCCACATCCAGAATATCTGATGGAAACTATCTAGCACAAAATAAGCACAGTCTTGCATGTCTTGCAAATGATGAGTTAGCATGCTGATTTTTCTAATAGTAAGCGGTTCTCTTCTGTTTTACGGCCTAAAAACTATTTTTTTTTGCTGTAGTCAAAGTTTGATGATGAAGCTCGAATCTGGTTGGTTGAAATTAGAATCGAAGCAAAAAAATTCTCACAAACAAGCCTAATTGACAAGTTTGATCATTTGGGCCGTGTAACATAATAGACCCAAGAAAGCAAACTACAGCAGATAACATGAATTCAGATTAAAAGCTGAAAAATTTGAAACATTGTTGAGTCAATAAAATTACTAAAATTACTCCTGGATGAAGGTTATACAGAGCAAAAGATTCTCCATGGATTTTTCTCAGCTCAAACTATTTTCAGATTATTGTTACGATTTGTTTAACCTCCACCAATGGCTAACGCTAATGAGAGTGCATGTTAAAATGGCAAATTAAACAGCTTGCAAGATAAATTGTGAAGATATTCAAAAAATTATGAATATTTGTCATCAGTTATGGCATCTGTTTCCGTTGTATTGAACTATATGATCCCCCAAATTATCATCATACACCTTCTGTATACTCAGCCAAAACGCAAAAAAAAGTTAAGTCCTATCAATTTGAAGTAAATCAATCGTATCAAAAATCCTTTAATAAGACGAGGTCGGTGCTAGTTTGTAGTTATTGCCCAAATCCATGCGTGCAGAAAAATCAATATCTATCCTTTCTTTGAAAATGATTCCAATTTTTTTTTCTCCCAGTATTAGTAAAATTGATCAATATCAATTCATTTTTTGCCATCAGAACGATAGAGTTCCTTTTGCTCCAAATTTCGAAGAAAATGACCCAATTTTGTTGCTCGGGATGATTTTTGCAAGCCGATTTAGGATTGACACACTCCATTTTTGCGTTAGAAATACAAATCGTTTTTATTGTCTAAAAAATGAATTTAACAGATTTGGAAGGATATTCGCTTGCTATTAAATCTCATCAAACTCTCAAAAAAAATTTAATTCAACTAATATTTTCTTTTAATTGTTTCAAAACTAGAGCAAAATTTTGACTCAAGAAACATCTGCATCAGAGCTACTAGGAGCAAAAGTTATTACAGGAGAATTTGTACCGCAAACTATTGAATTTGAGGGAATTATTTCCCAATTATGAAAAATTACGTGTTTCTTTAGTAATTAAAAGAAGAAATAGGCTAATTTATTTCAAAAGTAATTTATTATTAACGTTCTAGGCGCAATTTTGTTAGGCAGATAAACATATGATCGAAATCTTCTTCAGAGAAATTTGAAATTATGGTTAATAGTTGTTTTCGAAATTTTTAGGCTAAACTCGACACGTAAAGTCAAATGAAAAGAATAAAAATAATTTTGAATTTCTCAATTGTTCTATTGTCGAGAAAACCCGAAAATACTCAGATTAAATAATCTGCAAAAGTTGAGTATAAAGAGTGGGATAAAAACTTTGACGCATTTAAATAATTCGAAAAGTATGTTAGTCTTGAACACGACCTTAACAATATATTTCATCTGTGACCGCTTTCTAAAAACATGGGTTGATAAGATTGCCAATTTGATCCGATTGGAATGATTTACGAAAGATATATTTCGTGCTACTAGATCGACAGCGGAGATTCACTCAACGCATGCCTCAACAGCGTTGAGGCTTGCTATTTGAGTTGAGGCATGCTGATCCATTTGATGTTTTTCAAGTGCAAAAAAAATCACTGTGTACTTTACAAAGCGCGGAGGGATGCTTTTAAGAAATGAATATCTACATTTTTTGGAAACATTGATTTTTTGTGAGTTTTTCAATAAACTTCCAAGGCAAGCCATTTGTCATAGGCCTTTAAAAGCAACCGAAACTTTGAGGGGTTCGCATTAAAACGAGCAGACTTGTGTTAATAATGTTTGCGATAAGATTACAAAGGAACACTTTCGAATGGTTTTCAGGGTACTTTTTTTCAAAAAGGCACGGGACCCTTTAAAGGAAAAATTAAGCAGCTTTTTTAGAGGTAAATAAAAATACATCAGCCAGCTTTTAAATATTAGCATGATTTTTATGATGAAACTATTTGCTGAAACGTCCAAAAAAAACTCTTTTTGTTATGTAGAGTAGCGCAGTCAGCAGCTGTTGCGTTACCCGCGCTAACAAAAACGATTTAAGGTTGAGTTAGGTATCAAAAACTCATTCAGATGAAATAAATTGTAAGTTTGTTTGACCTAGTTTCATCTGGATTAGAGCTAATTTCATATCAAAACCAGAGAGAAGCCGTTTAGATCAAATCAAAATGATAAAAGTTCAATGGGATGAATTCTAATTGATCTAAAATTGTCTCATAATAAAACCCGAAAAAAAAATATCATGATCCTTCTTGTTTGAATATCTATTTAATTTTTGGTACGTCTTTTTGAGAAATTCCAAATGGATTTTTATTCACATTAATCGATATCATTAAACTTTTTTACTTACCTATTTTACACAATATACATTCTTAAGGCTTTTTTTTCAGTCATTATTGTTGTGCTAATACTGGATTTGAAACGAAACTATAATCCCAGTTTTGTCCAACGTTAATAAATTTTTCAAACATTTTCATCATTTTCTTACATTCGCTGTACAAAATTGCGCCAAAACTATTGATCTTATGAATAGCATTTGGGTTTTTTTCCTTATAAATACTGTTTATCACCGAGGGAACGTTTAGATTTCAGAGTGTTGAGTAAGCCCCGGAAAGTATCGTTTTGCGATGAGCAACTCTTCCTAAAGTAACTGTTGATCACTATCACACTGACGTACGTTTTGCTTCAGTTCAGATTTTTGCTAATTTTTTTCTTGTCGCAGATCAAATTAACTTTAGAAAGTGTAATTTGACTACCAACCAAGAACCTCTGGTTAAATTGCTTTCTTGCTTTTCAAACTATGCGTCAAAAAGAAGCGTATCATTTTTCTCTATCTCAAATTTGATATTTTCATATAAGCAATTAACAATAAACCACGTTACAAATTAAAACCAACTATTAAAACTTCGAAATAAAAAAACATGAAAAATCAGCAACTTGATTTCTTAAACGCATTAATTTTTGTTGTTTTAGAGCAGCTTGTGGAAAACATTTTTTTTCAATTGAAATAAAAACAGAAATGAATTCGAATGTAAAATTCAGCTTTCAAAATATTGAAAGCACTCTTGTAGAAAGGGTAATTTATCTGCCTCATATTTCTTTATCATTTTAAAATTGAACAAAACTGCTCGTAGCAAGGCGAAGCCCTGAATGTTCGGACTGCCTTTTAAGGTCTATGGAGCAGTAAAATGATGAAAAAGTTAAATGTTATTACTGTTAATAAATGTTATTACTGCTTTTTTTTTAAAAAAGTATTTTTTTTTGTGAAAATCATCCCCTCACAGACCATATAAAGTACAAAGTGGTAGATTCCGCTCCTAGTAACAAATAAATTATGACAAATAAATTTCCTTCAACCAATTTGGAACGATTTTTAAGACGCATTAAATCTCCGCTTACATGTTAATAGCGCGAAATGAATCGCTCGTCAATTGTCCCAATTTGGCCAAAATGGCAATCTCTAGGTCCCAAACTTTAGGAAAATTGATCACAGGCGAAATATCTTTTCAAATTTAAGCTCAGGTCAACAATACCTTTTGAACAATAATTAATAAATTTTGTCAAAAATGGCTAGTTAAAAAGTCGAACTTTGTCTGAAGAAAAAAACCCACCCGAGCACAAATATTCCGTTACTTTCGTTCTTAAAGTCGGAAAAACTGGTCGAGAATTAGTTGTTGAAAAACGTTAGCAAATCGTTAGTGAAATGAATTCGTTAGAGAAAACATTAGAGAAATGAATTCTGAGAAAGTGACTGTACTGGATAAAACGTATTTGATAAAAGACAAAGCTACAGTCATTTTTGTTTAATCTTCAAAATTTTGTGTGTCGATATCAAATTAAGTTTTTCTTACAGAAATTTTCTTACAGAAACAATAATAGCTCGTTGATGAGTTTTCATAAGGCTGAATAACAAATCAAATTAGTCAAAAAATTTGAACCTGTCATGCTTCAAGGATTACATAATCAACAAAACTCTTTTTGAGCGTATGCGACAATTTGAGAGATCAAAAAATGTGCTAGACAGTTCTATCAAAAGTTTAATTATGGATAAAGTGATTTCAAAGTGTAAGTTTTAATTAAAGCTTAAATAGTTTTCGATAACAGCCATAATTTTGTGATAGTTTTCAGCCAAAGAGTATGAGGGCAAATTGATAAACAATTATAGACGCAACCTGAAAATTAAATAATTTTTTTAAGTTGAAAGTTTTTAATTATTCACAGTTCGATAGATACCATACAAATATATTGTAGTATAAATTGAAACAGACAGATTTCATATTTACAATTTCAGTATCTGAAAATTCACATGTGTGACTAATTTCTCCCAAATGTTCAAGCTTCTTCAGCTTAAGGACTTCGGATATCAACACTAAAAGCTCATCTGTGAAGTTCTCGCCTTTTGACTTTTTCTCGGCTATGCAATATCGGTTGTACGCAGAACTGGTTTGAGTATTTTGATAAAACTCAAACAAATTCACCGGTACGATTTGGGCCATCTTTTCGGTCGTTACACGTAAAAACTTTTTCTGAAATTGAGTTTCATAGCATTGATACTCTGAATCCAAAATAGACCAGTCAAATCCTGCATAATTTCTAACCAAGTTGTAAAATTTATCGACTAATTTCGAAACCTGGTCATCGAATTCAGAGAGCCCTCTTTCAATTAATTCAGGATTTGAAATCTGAAAATATTCGTCGCTCAGATGAGAAGGTGTCAAGACGAAAGGTCTGGGATATCCAATCAAAGCCAGGTGACATTTTCGAGACAAAATATTTTGAAAGTTGTTGAGAAACTTTTCAGTGTCAAGCCAGTGAAAGGCTTCAGCAACTGTGACCAGAGAAACGTCATTCTTTTGAATCGATAATTGGTTTAGAATGTCTTCCAGATCATCGGAATCTGCTCTGAAACAAAATCTAGATGATTACTTTCCGGACATGTATGAGTCATAAAACTAAAAAATGATCTGTTTGGAGCTTTTGTGTTCAAAACTCGGCAATGTTTCTGTGTATTAAATCCTCGGTGTAAGTGATCACTTTAATTTCTACATAGTGTCAAGGAAAAAATATATTTACTATGATTATTAATTCATCCACATTTTTCAACAGCTATTTTTATTAAACTAAACCCATGAGTTCACATAATATGCGAAGTCCGGATGCCACAAGTTGCCCAGTCAACAATTTATTTTGGTTATTCCATTCAATTAATGTGATTTAGTACTTTGATTATGTTTTAACCTTGACCTCTACGTGTTAATTATGTACCAGTCAATGTTTACTGTTCGAAGTCCAGCGGATTCGCGTCACTAGTTGTTCATATTTTGGTCGTTTTAACCTACTTTAGTTAGATTAGATTACCAGTGGTATTTGCACACTTTTATTATGGCGCAGTCAACTGATTCGAATCTGCGGGGAATTCCCGCCTTTTGGCCAAACCACACTGTGGAATCACCGACCCAACGGACCAACTAGATAGACCACTTTCATCTGGCTATCTTCGCAAAGGAAAATTTAGATAAAGATAATCTAAAAGAACCATTGGAAATGGAAACCACGATCTCTATCTTAGAAGCCGCCCAGGAGTCATAAAATGAACCACAAGGGAAAGCCAGGGAGGCCAGAAATAAAGAAACCATGCGAGTCTACGAACACGCAGAAGACAAACGACTTGCAGAGGAGAAGAGAAAATTCGGAGGTATGAGGAGATACGAGGCCGACAAAAAAGTAAGATCTATATTATCTGGCCCTAGGAGCTGAAGGAAAGAGAGTTTTTGCTCAGAAACACCCAAGGGTTAAAATCCTAGCAATCTCCTTCAAAGAATTTTTCGACCTACTGGAAACAGCTTTTATCAAACCCACAAACATTACGTTCGAACGCCTCAAACTGCTAAGCAGAAAACAGAAGGACAGGGAATCGTACGAACAATTTTGGGATGCATTGTCTGATTTATCAAGATCATGTGAAATTGGAATCAACGCCGAACAGGAGTGGATAAGGGATGTTTTTATTTTTAACAAGAAAAACTGTGACTTACAACGTAGATTACTCTCGGAAACACTTAATCCAGCGGACGCATTCAACCAAGCCATCAACTACGAGTAAGGTTACCACAATCACCATAAGTTAACGAATTTGACAAGGTTATTCATGGGCAGCAGCGGCAGAGTGTACAAAAATTTTATTACTGTATAAAAAAAAGAACCAAGTTCGAACATAGAAAAATCTAATACCTGTATGAAATGTGGGAATGCGTTTACCAAGGGTCATTTGAATTTGTGCCCGGCGAAGGAAATAATTTGTAACATCTCTAAATATAAAGGATACTTTGGAATACTATGTAAATCTAAAGGAAGAAGGCCCGCTGTAAATAATGTAAACAACCGGAATTGTTCATACTCCCCAGAAAACCCACAAGAGAGAATTGATGTAAACTTTTGTTGTGTGATTAATGCGTGGACAGAAGAGGGGATTAGCAGCAACGACGATTATTCTGTTCTGAACATCAAAACCATCTACGATACCGACGGTCTGGAAACTAAGAAATTGGTCAACATTGGATTGGGAGAAGACGCAATAGTTAACCTGAACATTCCAGTGGATTTGGCGAGCACAGTAAATTTCCTAAAGCAAAACGTCCTACACGAACTTAAATTGAGAAACCCACGATTGAAGATCCACCCAGTTGATAAGAAAAATCGTGAATTATATTGCGGTTTTACGAATGACACAATTAATCTCATCGGGAAACTTACAGTTAGAATACAATCCAATGGATGGACCTCGGAAGAAATTCTATTTTTCATCACCAATGGTCACGAGAGGAAAAATTTAGGGAACGATAATTTATCTAGAATTGGAATTGAAATCGATCAAAACAACCGCTACTACCAGTTAACAACGTAACCCTGCCAGATTCGTGTAAGTTAAACAATTATTCGGATACAACCCTAAACTTGTACCATATACTAAAAGGTCTATTTGACAGAATAGGGCAAATACCATTGGACAGAAATACCCATTTTCAGACCCCATTCAAACCCATTCAAACTAAAGGCAGAAGAGTTCCCCCTCATTTACTAGAAAGTGTAAAAACGGATTTAAACAGAATGGAAAAAGAGGGACGTATAGTGAAACTAAGCAACTGTGATGAAGACTGCTTTATTAGTTCATTAGTAACTACCAGAAACCACCGGACGTATCGATTCTTAACGGGATTCTACAGGCTAGGCGATATGCCTAACGAATTCCAAAGGGTAATGGATTTGCTATTAAAAGATATTACGTTTACCAACTGTTATATCGATGATATTTTAATAGCCTCAAAAGGATCATTAAAAGAACACAAAGCGATACTTTTAAGATTTTAAACATCTTGGATAGCAAAAACATGGCAGTAAAATGTGAGAAATAAGCTTTTTCCCCAAAAAGACATAGAATGGCTGGGATTCAAGATATCACACACGGGGGTGAAACCATTGGTGGGAAAGTCGGACTCGATAAAAAGTCTCCCAAACCCCAAAAACATCTCTCAATTAAGGTCAACCTTTGGCTCGGTAAACCAATAAATGAAGTTCGTCCCAAACCTGTAAACTCTAAGTTCTCCGTGACGTCCACTGTTAGTACACAAAAATCAGTTTACCAATGGAATGACGATCACACGAAAGCCTCCGAAGAATTAAAGAAGCAGATTAAAAATATTATAGAGAACAACCATTTTGTTATAAAAAAGTCATAAAGACTACAAACAGACGCTTCACCGACTGGTCTGGGAGCCACATTGGAACAATGGGACGGGAAAACTTGGTTAACCAAAGCATTCGCTTCACGATTTTTAAATATTCATGATATGAAATACTCGACGAATGAATTAAAACTTTTGGGAGTGGTCTGGGCTCCTGGGCATTTTAAAAATTACTTGTATGGCGCTGAGTTTGAGATCGTAACGGACAACAAGGCGTTGTTATGGGCATCAAACGCAATCTTATTAACAAAACTATGCACAGCAGACTGACCCGTCGGGTAAATCGACTTTTACCTTTTAACTTCAAGATCAGACACATCCCGGAAAAAGAAATGGGATTCGCAGATTTATTGTCGAGATTACCTTCAGGAATAGTTCTCCCAACCTCACACTATGATAACGAATTCTTAGTGGCAACAGTGAAAAAGATTGTTGAAAACCTTTTTGTAAATAGTGAATTTAAAAACAAAAATTGATTAAAGAACGAATTGTACGACCCAGTGGATGTAAATAGTGTTACTAACTCGGATTATAATAATTCACTGACACAATTCTAATTTGTAATTCCAATCACTCGCGTTCAGAGTCTTGCATAAGCAGTTGTACTCCACTAAACCTTTCAAAATTCGATTTTAATTATTTTTAACTTTCCGACAAAACTTACTTTTTTTTCTTATCACATTCTTTATTATCATTTGACCCGTTCACAAATAAAGAAATCAAAAACTCAATTCTAGAAATCCTATCTTCAGTGAAATCTTTAAAAATTTCCCTTCGGGCAGAAATGAAAGGAATTACTCTAAATTTTGATAACGACACAATGACTTAAATATACAAAAATTTACTTGCAAAATATAAAAGAGACCTAAAAATACCAGCCACGCCACTAGCCTTTAGAAAACATTGCTCGAACAAATTATTCCAACTAATGACAGACGAGGACAAAATACTGAAGGACGTGAAGAAGGCAGTAGAAGAGGGCAGACCATTGGACAGATTTGGAGCTTACCTGCAGACCTTTCAACGAGACTTTCACGTAAAGCAAGGATTGTTATTTAATGATAACAAGTTTATAGTGCCAGCAGCTCTAAGATCATAATTCATGTCGCTACTCCAGAAAACCCACCCAGGACAGTTTGACATGAAGTCTCTAGCAGAAAACATTTGGTGGCCGCACTTGTATAGAGAGATTCATTACCACGGGAATAACTGCATCCATTGTATAAAGGAGGTTAAGAATCTTGAAGTAATTTTGGGCAAAAACAACACTGAGAAATTATCGACCTTTTCTGAACCAAACGAAGAAATAGACCTAGACTTTGCAGGTCTATTGGACAACAACTGTGGTAATTCGCAATATTTGTTGCTGTGTATTGATCGCTTCTCAAAATTTCCGTCAGCCAAGATAGTGAATAACACTTCAACTTCTCCGATTTTATCTTTTATGTCGGATTTTATCTTTTAAGACGGGAAGGCAAACCGTACCTTAAACCTCTTGGTGGAAAAACGTTATCGGACACTACACATACGGTTACACTCGATAATGAGCATGTACTCAGAAAATCGGATCTAGCCTTTAAAAAACTGCAATCATCGGCTCCTAGTAAATTCTCTTCAGTTCCGAGTTCGAGAGTTAATTTTTATGATTTAGCAGGAAAACGAAAGAAAAATTCGCCATCGAAGTGGAGGGACTCGAATGAAACTGGCCCATCGAGAAGGCAGACACCATCGGGAGCAAAAGCCACAAAAAGGAGAAGAACAAAAATACCAAGCTTCAAAGGTTCAAAATTCACTTATTCGGAGCTAGATTCTTCATTACACTTAGACCATTGCGACAATGTTATAGACGACTATTTGGGTACCGACTCGGAATTTGTATTTAACTCTCAAACCTTTTGTAGCGATAGTGCTTTACATCAGTCAGGACGAACACTAGCAAGCGAATCTACTCCACAGTCCACCTGCACATCACCAGCGGCCACAAGCGACAACCCCGTAAGGACTGAGAGCTCAACTGAAAAGAATACAGAGGTCCCGCTAGTAAAACCCCTTCGGAAATTGTAGACTCAGACGAGGAACCCCTGATAACGTTTTCAGGATCGAAAAGCCTTCAGACAACATAGTCCTCAATATCCTCTTCGGACTATTTGACCCCACTAGAGGACATTGGTGGCCCAAGCAACTCAAGGATCTACCTTAACTCCGTCTTCTATAACACCAAAGATCGCAGTTTTATCATCACCATTTGTAGAAAGATGACTTGATATTCAAGACGATGAGGGGAGCGACATATCTTCAGTTATAGATACAGAAAGGAGAAAGGAGGCGGACAGATTCCACGACTAAATTAATGCCACCATTTAAAAACCTATAACCCCCTACTTAGTTAAACTCGATAGAGTTGATTTTACCATTGGTTACTCCTTACTCATTTCACTTTTTTTCGAATTCTTAATTTTAGCAATTTTTGTACATTAGTTCGCAGTTGAACACATTTTATTTTAGTTACCTATGTAGCTTAGCCTGTTCAATTTGTTTATATGTCACATAACCCCAATTGTGCATAACATTTCTTCATTTGTATAGTCGTTGTATATATCTGTTTCATCTTGTAGATAGCCTGAAAATTTTACCACAAAATTATCTCCATGTTAATTGGTAATATCTCTGTAAATTTCATTGGTTCTAAGCGCTGATACTTTTTGTTTTAACGTTGGCCCTCATGGAGTGAGGGGAGAATGGAGTATATGTGTGATATTGGCTACACAGGGAAAGAGCAGTTGTAAAATTTTTCGTGCAGTGGGGAATGTTGTGATTTAGTGTTTTAGTTATGTTTTAACCGTGACCTCTATGTGTTAATTATGTACCAGTCAAGGTTTACTCTTCGAAGTCCAGTGGACTTCGTGACACTAGTTGTTCTTTTAAGACATCGGTCAGTTTTAATTCAATACCTTATTTTAGTCGTATTTTAGTCGTTAGTTAGATTAGATTACCAGTGGTATTTGCACACTTTTATTATTATTACCATCATTTTTCAGCTGATGCAGTGTTTTTGGAGGCAAAAACAGTTTTTAGCTCATTGCTTTTTTGATCATTTACCTCATATACGTAATATTCAAAGAATCAGTTTCGGAAGATTGCTCTGCAACCTTGACCTGTTTTTCACTGCTGTCAATTCCCAAAACATGCTCAAAGTGTGGCGCCAGTTGCCTGGTCAAAAGTCCAGTGCCACAACCGACATCCAGAGCCCACTTTCGTTGCTCGGGCGAAATAAGTGAGATGATTTTTTCAATGATTCGGCTGGGGTAAGAAGGTCGAAATTTATTATAGAGATTCGAATGAGTTTTGTACTCTTTGTCATCAGAATTAGAAATCGATTGAATCATTGTAGTACTACAATCTATGTATGACAGTTTTATTAATAACTAGCAATTCGTATCGATGTGTGTGATTACTTAAACTCTGAGAGATAAATGAATTTGTGCCAAATCTTGGCCGAGTTGAGGTGCTTAGTTAAATAAAGTTTGCTAGTTCGTTTTTTGAACTTTCTCGGCGCACTTTAGTTCGATCCTAACCTAAACATCTGCAGTGCCCAGTTGAGACTAAAAATCAATCAGCGAACCAGAACAAAATGAATTGAGCAAACTTGATTTCCAATCGACTGAGTTCGACTTCGTTTAAACACTACGTGAAGATTCTTCAGCATGAAATGTGTTTAAAAGCTCAAAAAAACAGGACCTTGTATTTCATTACAGCGGAACGCTGTGAAGCACAGGATAACACAAGGCAACACTTACCAAACGTAATTTTTATAAACTGGCCAAGGTTGCCTCTCGACAAATAAAATCATAGCTAATGCAAGGTTGCAATAAAAAACATTGAATTACAACAGGGGAGGATTTAGGGGGGGGGGGGGGGGAGGGGAGGATTTGTGGGGCGTTCCTAGGGGAGAAAGCTTTCGCCACCTTTTTATTCTGGTTGCCAAACTTATCCAAAGGGTTCCCTTTGGTTCATTTACGAGATCCATTTTTGTCTGTCCATTGAAAATTTTCTTAAGACATTATAGAGTCCTTATAGTGTTTTGGAAAAGCTCGGAAAGTGTAATTTGTCGACCTGAAAACATATAGACAAACTTTCAATTTTTTTCGAAAAACCGCCCCTCCCTAAAAATTTTTTTGCGCACGCCACTGCTTGCAATGCAAAAAAAATAGAAATGTTAGCTTTCCATTTAAGTTGTTGAGAACCAAAAATTTCAGGTTGATTCGACTGTTTTCCTGCAAAATGACTGTATAATTTTTCCTTCGATCTATACTTGTATTGTTAAACTCACTTTTTGATGATTCTGATCAAAACTTCTTGATTTAAGATATTATACATATAACTTACACAATCTCACACTGACAACACACACAAACACACACAAACACACACACACACACACACACACAGTCACACAAGCTCACGCACACTAACACTCAGACAGAGTCACACACACACTCACGCACAATCACACAATTACCCGCCCACACTCACCTTTGCTCTCATATACTAACTTACCCTTACACTCACACTTAATCACAGATCTCCACACGCACATACACACATGCACATACTCACAGATCTCCACACGCACATACCACACGTACATACTCAACTACCCACATACACACTCACACTTAATCACAGATCTCCACACGCACATACCCACACTCGCCACAGTCACACGCACACTCACGCAAACTCACACGCACTTACTCACACACACTCAAGTTTACTCAAAGATACTCACACGCACTTACTCACACACACCCAACTTTACTCAAACATACTCACACACACATACACACTCACATTTACTCTCACATACAGTTACACATACTCACACAGAATCCCACTCAAACACACTCACACACACTCACACTTACTCACACAAACTCACCTTTAATCTCACAAACTTACGCGCACACACAGCTACTCACACACAAGCACACACACACACACGCATACTCACTTTCACCAAAGTAATCCACACTCACGCAGTCACACACACTCTCCAACAAACTCACACACACACACAAACACACACACACACACACACACACACACACTCCTATTCACACACACTTTCCACTCTCTACACTCACACACACACGCACATACACCACACCACACCACACACACACACACACACACACACACACACACACACACACACACACACCACACACACAAACACAAACTTACTCACACAAACTTTTCCTTATTCACACTCAATCACACACACTTTTTCAACCACACTCACTCACCCCCACCTCATACAAACAATAATTTCACAGCTAGCCAGCATCAAAAAGATATTCAAACAATTTGAAGATGTTCTCACTTACAATTTCAATGCGGAAGAAGGTTTTCGTCATCTCGATCATCATCTGATCTTTTCTTGTAAAAAAATGTACTGAAAAACTTTTTATAGACCTCCAGACTATTGGGTAGAAATCGAAAAAAGGTATGAACGGCTGGAAAACACTCAGGAACTTATCGAAGATTGCCTGTTGTCGACCAAACTCGAAACACGTCTTTTTAAGGCAACGAATCTTGTGGAACTTGTCGTTTTAATTGAAGTGTCCTTGATTTTGCTTAATCGTTTATCGACCAAATAATGATTTCTTGATGAAAAAAAACTTCGAGGTTATTTTTATTTTTCTAGCTTGAAAAACTCCTAGCTTAGTTTGAGAAAGTTTTTTGGCTAATAATACATTTTGTTGATCAAATTAATTGAAAAGAGAATAACAGGTTAAGATAACCAAAACTAATTATGAACATAATCGTTAAGAATCTATGGAAATGTCAATTGATTCATCAAGTTCAATTCAGGTTCAGGTCCACGTAGGGCTATTTGGGGCAATGCTGCCCATTGCCCGCCGCAGTGATTTCATGACGCAAAGCTCTCCACTGCTTCCTGTTTTGGACCAGGTTTTTGCATCGATTGAACAACTCACTCTCGCAAGCCTTGATTGTAAGTTTGGGCGGCTTAGCTTGAGTTTCATTTTCATCTCTGACTATTTTGCGCCATGACTTCCGCTCCCGTGTGGAAGTTTTTGCCAAGTGACTCCATTTTCAAATTTTAGAACAGCATTCGGGATCTCATGACTTTAATAAGGCGAACGGTTGGCTTGTTCAAAATTTCTACACCACCAACCCTTAGCTGTAGTTGATTAAGGCAAACTGGGGTATATCGTGAAACCCCTGCAGCTTTGATTCGTTCAAGTTTTTGAATGGCATTTGATATATCGAAAGTTGGTTGGTGGTTCGGTGAAGACAATTTTGAGGTGGTGCACACCGATTCTCATGACTCTACCAAGGCGAACGAGTTGCTTGTTCAAAATTTTTACACCACCATCCTATAGCTGTAATGATTAAGGCAAACTGGGGGTAAATGGAAAAAGCAATAAGAGAGCAATATGAGAGCCTTGTTACAGCAATTCCCGGCGTGTTCTTCAAAAACAACTAGCTGAAACAAGGAAAGAAACTTCAAGGATTAATGGAAGACAGTCAATTGAAGGAAAAAAATAGCTGTGTGGCACGACTCGGTGAGCAACACCATTAACAGCCACAGAACCAGAAACTATCGCCCAGCTTGTGTCGAGGAGCTGGCAAACTATTTGTCGAAGAAGCGGCAGATACTGGCGATCGTCTATTGCAGAATAGAAGGAACGCTCGATTTGTTTTATCAGCTGCTCGGCACTGGAGTGCTCATTATTCCTGCAACAAAAAGCTAATCTCCAAGAGCAAACAGAACCACTTAGAGGAGCTGCAAGGAACTGCTCAATTGGAGCTGAAGTGGAGCTGAACAAAGAAAGACTGGCAGAACTGATTGGCAATATCAGGGGAAAACAACAGAGACAATCGCAGACAACGAGGAATCGAAAAGCAAGAGGTGAGCAGAAGCTGCAGGCAGAGGAAGAGTCTGCGCTTAAAAACAGGGGCGATGAGAGTGTGATTTGCTCTGCTTTTTGCCTTGTGAGTTTTATTACTCGTGACCTGCAAAACAATCACCACAGTACTTTTGCTTGCTGTTTGGCTCAGATAAACTTGAATAACAATAAAAAATTGGAAAATTGTGTAACACTATATGGTTCATTAAAAAATGTTCAAGTAATTGAACAACGACTGAAGTTTCTGAGAAAGTGTCTGAAAAACAACATTACGTCGCCAATCCGTGTTATTTGGTTTTTGCGGAATCGGTGCCAAAAAGCTACAAATCGTGTGTCCCGGATTCCGGAACACACGCATTTTCTTTGATAATTTTAGATTCCGTGGATTCCTAATTCAAACCAGTTTGTATGTGACCAGCTTTTGTCATGGATTCCGGGACAGCTAAAACCACCGATTTTGTGGCCAATCCCGGAATCCATTACAAAAACCATGGAATCCGATACCATATTAAAACGCATTAAAAAACGGTTTTACCATGGATTCCTGGGCTTTTGGCTTCTGCGTGTTCTGGAATCCGGGACTTTACCAATGGACCGGATTCCATGACATTTTACAACAATTATCAATACACAAAATTAGAAATGTTTAGTGTTTTGCCATGGATTCCATGATTAACACAACTGTTAATGATACCATGATTAACAAAAGAAATCTTTTAGTGACTTAAGTGACTTCTTTCTGTTAATGATACCATGATTAACAAAAGAAATCTTTTAGTGACTTAAGTGATTTCTTTCGAAAAAAAAGAGGTTAAAAAACTATTGTATACTCTATACAGTTCAACTGTATCACTCTATACTGTATACTATATACTCTATACTGTATACTGTATATACAGATTTTTCAATTAGTTTAGTTTCACTAGTTTTACATGTATTTGATGTTCATGTTGTAGAACAACAATATTCATTCTTCTAGAACATTTAAAATGTACAGGATTTCGGCATGACTTTTTTAAAACAGGTAATTGTAACCGTTACCGTAACGTGACAATGGGGTTAAAAAACTATTGTATACTCTATACAGTTCAACTGTATCACTCTATACTGTATACTATATACTCTATACTGTATACTGTTATACAGATTTTTCAATTAGTTTAGTTTCACTAGTTTTACATGTATTTGATGTTCATGTTGTAGAACAACAATATTCATTCTTCTAGAACATTTAAAATGTACAGGATTTCGGCATGCATTTTTTTAAAACAGGTAATTGTAACCGTTACCGTAACGTGACAATGGGGACCATTTGTCATTTACAGGATTTCAGCATTCTAGCAAATTTTATAATTATTTTAGTTTAACTAGTTTCATTTGATGTTCAACATTTGAAGTTCAGAAAAACTGCCTGTGAGTTGAATATGAATACTACTCATGATTATTCAACACTAAAACTTGAGTCTCATAAACTATTCAACACTTAAGCTTGAGTCTCATAATAGGATAAGTTAGTAACT